ATACTATATGGAGTGGTATTCCATGTAGATGACATTAAAATCTCCATTTAAATAACACTTTTAAACCTAAAAAAAAATGAATTATATGTCTTTATATATCATCATTTTAAAAATCACACATGCAGATCTTTTTCCACTATAGGAATGTCAAGTCTCCAACTTACTTATGAAATTATACAAAGAAAAAGTGTATGTTTACAAAGTCTTAAAATAAAACCCTTGTGTCTAGAACTATTGATCTCATACACAGCTACTGATCTGCATTGAAGTTGAAACCTCCCCTTAAATGTTATTCCTATTATTGTTTTAAATGGTCTGCAACCTAATTAAATGCCAATCTACTTCCCCACAGTTCATAACATTTGACATTTACAGTAAGATTCTAGATGCCATTCCCTGAAACCATCAGGTAATAGTTATTGTTGGAAAATGCCCTTCACCTTTAAAAAAGAATACTTGTTAGTATACTTGCTTATAATTTTGATGTCACAGAAGTTTGCAAGCCTATAAATTATAATGGTGCCACAATAGTTCCCTTCTATACTGCTATTTTAATATCCTTTAACACATAGAAGAAAAACATTGATTTAAATTTCCATTGTAAGGTCTAGTGACATTTTCTTCTAAAGGTCACAATTCAGACTACATAAACAAATAGCCAATACATCATCATTAAATAATTTGTTCACTTCAGTCATAATATATTATAATATATACACCTATAGGGGTGAGTGAGTGAGAGAGAGTGATGTGTATTTGGAACACATATTCTACTTAATTATAACTTCACAACTGCTATCAAGACAAATAAGAAGTTTTAAATAAAAAAATCTAAAAAATACCGATCTTACTTTTATAAAAGAGCACCTAGGAAGCTGATATTCGCATGACACTAAGTTAAATAAATATTAGAGGAACTAAATTATACTGCTATTACGTGTGAGGCCTCAATGCTAAATTCTTGTTATTTCAAAATTAAACTATTAAATCATCCAACTATGCAGTAACAGCACAGACATTAAACAAACTATGACACACACAAAAAATACATTATACATGTGTCAAAATAGTAAAGATAAATCTCTATGTCATATTACAATATGTATAGCAAAATCTCACTTTTCTTAAATTAAAAAAAGATGTTATATTTGTGTATAAAATACAGGTCAGAAGGTTGGTCTAGTCTGTTCTGTTTGAAAGCTAGTTTCAACACTTGCTCACTGGCATTCTACTTTGAGCAGTCTATATTGCTCATGTTATTAACCTTTCTCAGCCTCAATTCCCACATTTTGTAGTGGTAGAAAATAATACTTTCATTTCACAGGTTACTGTGAAATAAACGAGATAATATACATAAGTGGCTTGGCATAATCTCTGATTCACTATAAGTGCTTAATAATGGTAGTTAATTTTGTGGCCCTACCCTACTCTTAAAAAATGGATTCTCTGGTGCTAGTTCAGTTTCAGACAAGGATTTAAGGATTTCTCCTTATAGAGATTTAGGCTTATATGATATATATCTCTGGCGACTAAAAACAGAGAAAAGCCTTAGGGGGGGAAAGTATGTGTGTAATGATAAAAATAATTTCAGATGTATTATTATAAGCATATACAGAGGATGCCAAAAAGGATGCACATTTTAATAAAGGAAAAAACTGTATAAATTTGTAATACTCAATATGTACAGATAACAAAAGATAAATACAAGTCATATTTGACTTCTGCAATTAACAAGAGGTGCTTAAAGCAGTTACCATCAGCGTCCAGACACTTCTGTACACAGATGGCATCTCTTAAAATGAGTATACTTTATTTTTGCCACTCCCAGAATACGTAATCTCTATATAGTTTATATGTTCTACTCTACTATGCTCCAGAACCTTAAAATCACCTTGAAAAATCCTTTTATAAGCCTTTCTTCTTATAAGAATTAAGAATACAAAAATAAGAAATACTATATATACTAAAATGTTCTGGTAGCTGAGAAATTTCTCTTATTAACCTCTAGGAAAACACATTTTGGATTCTGAGAAGCTGTTCATTCTGCATTTCAGGTTGTATTTTCAAGTCATCCTTTCTAAGAGCATACTTATCTCTAAAATTCGACCTTTCCTTTATCTCACTGTTTGAAAATTCTATTAATGATCTAATTTCTGTCACTTCTCAACTATGTGGACTTGAGGCTTAAATTTTTTATCTCTAAAAGAAATCTCCCACTTATTGATTTAGTTTTCATGCCATATCTCAAGTTCATTTATAACAGAGTAGTTATTCCATTTTAAAAACGTGTTTCCAGTCTTTCTTCTACTAAGACTTAATATTTGGCTATTTTTCTCTAAATGTTTTTAGTGTAACTATTCTAAAACAATAAGAATATGTAAAGATCAAAGAACAAAACAGGTCAAATAAAAATACACAGAGTAGCAGAAACAATGTTATTAATAGCCAATAAATGAACATTAATACTAAAAATCTTACTTAAATCATTAGCCAATAATATAACTTAAAAATAAAGCATTTAATTACTTTTGTTCAAGTTATTTAATGTTTAGAATTATTTCCTTATACACTAAAAGGAAAGTTGAAAAGTAGTATTTTTGAGGAAAAACAGAAAAATTCATTTAAAAAATTTAAATAGTCGATGCCTTTCTGTTAACCTTCGCTACTATGGTTTAGGTAGGCCTAAGTAAGTAATTTAGGGTCACAGACTTTTCAACAGTATAAACTCGGTCAAATGTTTGTTGATATATTTTGATTCTGTCAAAGCCTTTTGTCATTATTATATTAACCGAAGTCATATTGCATTCCCACTGCCCCTTCTCACCCTCAAAGCAAAGTACTTTTAATACATATGCTGGCTCTTTCTTATAATGTCGTCTTTAGGTAGGATTGGCTCATAAAAATGTTTGTCTTTACATTTTCAGTATCTCATAAGGATTTCTATCCTCACATATAATCAGTAGTTACATTAACTCTACTAGATATGTTGAATTGTGTGTATAGCAATCAACTATGTTTTTTAAAGCAATGAACATTGTAATAAAGCATCTATAAAAAAAGTTTTAGAGAAAAGTTAGTCATCTAATTACCTACAAAGAGCTTCCAGGTCACTGTATGGCTAGTTTCAATAAACAAAGGCTTTAAAAAAATGCTTTTAAATTATTTGTCAAGACCACAAGAACTGAATGAAAAATAGTAGCATATTAACAAACAAAATCTGGCCATCGATTGGAAATGAAAGTAGCAAGCCTCATAATATAACTGTGTTACTTCCATGGAGTATTTTATGTAAATTCCTTCAGTCCCATCTGTCACCAATCTACCCTAAAAATTATTCCAGAACCAACTGAAACAACTTGGATATACGTAAAAACAGATTATTTCATTTATCATGATGTTTCATTGACAGCAGTCAGACGTTAAACTGACCGCTAGCCTTCTAAAGATAGTAGAGATACCAGATTTTGACATGTTCTCTAAAATTAGTATATCAGAGACAGTTGAACTTTGCAGCAACTTGGATGGACTTAGAGTCTATAATACTGAGTGATCCATCACAGAAACAAAGAACTGAGTACCACATGCTCTCACTCGTAAGTGGATCTTGAACGATTATCATAATACTACAAGAAAGAGATTGGCATTAGAGGGTAACTGCCGGGGAGGAAGGTATACCTCATCAACAAGGGTACCTGCCTAATGACTATTTGTATACCTGACCCTGAATTGTGCCCCATATTTTTAAAAACAAAAACAAAGTACAGAGGGTGCCAAAAATGTATATACATTTTAAGAAAGGAAAAAGCTATATTAAAATTATAATACTCAATATGTATATACTGATAACAAAAGATAAATACAAGTCATGTTTGACTTCTATAATTACAAGAGGTGCACATTATTTGGTAAACTTCTGTGCCAAGTGTGTAAACTGTTCTAAAACCATAGCAGAGGAAGCAGAACTTATTGCTGTGCAAGGTCTCCCGGGTCTTCTCTTGTGCATATCACACATAGTACCAAATGCCTCAAACTTGTCATGTTTGTTAGGTGTGTTAGAGGTTCTACTGCATACTCACATCTCCACTGTCATTGTATTTCCACAACATTCTCGAATTTCAAATACCACTTCAAAATGGTCTCGTGCTCCTCAAACAACCATGCTTTTGCCATTTTCTTTGTCTGTCCTGCCTGTAGCATGGTGACACTAGCATTCACTTGATTAACGCCATCTTTTGAGTGAATGTCAGCCTCCACATGCTATTGTAATTCAGTTAGAAAAGTAATACATAGTTAACATCTCTTAAAATGTGTATACTTTTTTGGCACCCCCAGTATATCGAAATCTCGTTTTCTTTGGATTTCAGTTATATACTAGCTAAATATGTGTGCTTAATTTTAAAATATTAATGTATACAATTAAGGTTATGATTAGTTATATTGCTATTATTTTAAATGCATGCAAACAGCTATTTCAAATAGAATATTTTTAGGGATAAACTTCCATGCTCCAGGATTGGAATCTATAGAAAGTGAATGAACATTTTTCTACCACAATTTTAAGAACTTTACATCTTCCAATAATTTCCTAACAGTTCAAGTCAATTTCACACTAGGTAATAGTACATAAATGATATTTGGAATGAATGGGCACACAAGAGAAGAAATTTAATTGAACACACACAATTTTAAAAAATAATTTATTTAAAATATTTATATACTTTAAAATATATAAATAGCTCATAAATTGGCATACGCATTAAAAACTTTATAAGATTTGCCTGCCTTCTGAAAAGTTAACAATGGGTAGGAGGGCCATTTTTTATTTAACAGAAAATGTTTCTCCTGGTTTAAATTCATCAAAAAGCTATAAACTTTCACTGTAGTACAAATGGAAGGAAATTAATATTTAGTTAACTCAATATTTATAGTTAGTCAAGTATTATATAATTAGTGATTTTAAACAAAATCATTAAAATTGATGGATAAGGCATATCACTTACAAGCTGCTCTGATTTTACACCATATAACTGGATGGTCCTTGCCACGTTTTTTGACACAGCTAACGTGAGGTTAGGATCAACAGCAGCCACATTTAGTTCACTGGAGGAAAAAAAATGGATTTTAATTATTAGCAACACTGTTTATCAACAAAGTAAAGAGTAACACATAAACCTAAACCCAGTAAACAATGTGATGATTCTTTTTATAGATTTCACTGACAGCCTCCAAAAACTGGTCACTTTGTTTCATTCCTTCTCAAAATTCAGCCCTAGGAAAAAGTGCTTTGAGATGGCTTTGTTAATGACCAGTTTATCATTAATAAAAGCATGTCATGTGTGGGTTCAGTCTGTGATTAAGGGAATAAATTATGTACAGATTTTTTAAAGTAGTACTCTTGCTAATACTGATAAAGTGCAATTAGAGGCATTGCATGTCACAGACATCTGCAAGGAAATGACAGCACTTGAATGGAAATGATGACCTTGTAGTGACACGGGCTAAAAATATAAATTACACATGACACATAAAGATACTCAGTTTCTGTAGAAATTATGCCAATTCATGCCATTTTGTATATAGTAGCTTTTTAAATATATCAAAAGCATAATAGCACTATAATTAGAAATTTTAAAAACTGATGTTCTAAAGTATTTCTTTATGATGCTTACTTTAAAGTTTAACATTTGATTAATCGGGGCATTTGATCTGACTGCCAAAAAAAGTATTTTACGAAGTCTACAGAAAGATTACTGGAAGTTCAAAATTATATGAAAACTTACATACAGGAGGAAAGCAAGAAAAGTAATTACTGTCTCTGAAGTAAGAGTAAATCTTGACACTTTCCAGATTCTCTTTTTAAAGAAACTGAAGGAGTCTGAAACAACACTAGTGTATACTATGTGTGACAGCAATGTTCTTTCATCGCGTATTGAGATATAATTTTATTAATGATCACTTTTAAATTCTATTGAACACGGGCATAAGTATGCTTCTTCCAGCTCCAGGTTACATCTGATGATGGCATTTCAAGTTGCATAAATTAATGGGAGAGATACCTCTTCAACACTCACATAAATAGGTCAAAGAGATCAAGTTGAATCCAGAACCGTTTTTATTGCTAACCACTAAACAGATAACAGAGGCATTAGGGTAAATAATCTAGAGTAAGAATTTTGGAAAGTCAAAGTTAATTGTGAGAAGATTTAGAATAACAATGCTGGGCAATCTAGACACTTCATAGGTATGTTTTCAGCTGAGGGTATGCCTATACATATTATACCTGTGGCTTACTTTCTTACTCTTCCAAGCTTCAGAATTACCATCTTCAAATCTGTAATCTAAAAGAATCTAGACTTTGGTCTTATATTGCACAACTATTATTTTTACTCCCTAAAATGTCCATCTCAAATGTACATACCTATTGTTATGACAGCTTGTTAACTATGACAGAAACTGAGATAGTTTCAACTGCAAATTAATCTGGATAACTTTTAAAGGTAAATGTCTAAAGGCAACAATGTAATTACATTGTCTGCAAGCATTCAGGTGGCACCTCTGCTAGGATAACTTCCTTTTTTAGTCTTAAAAGCTGTCACATTCACTCAGAAAGCTTTAAATAGCAAACATAAGCAGGCTAATCAAGATTATAATCCTGTTACTGCCATGAAGGGCTTTCTGATTTAAGATTAAAGCACATTAACCTCTATGTTTTAGTTTTTCAATTTATAAAACCCTTTTTGATTATTTAATTTCCTGCATAATGCTAAGAATTTATTATGGTATAAAGAACAAGGTTTACTTTGCATTCTTGACAAGATACAGAATAATAATAATAGACTATTTTCAGACTATATTTAAATGATTTTATTCATTGGAGTCTCAAGTACTTACTATGTGTACACTCATTAGCTGCAAAACTCTTAATTGTAGGCCTAGTTTCTGAAATAATTTGAAATAAATTAAAAATATATTGCTACCAAACATCATTAACAAATGTGACAGTCATCTTATGACATGCCATTATATAAAAAATGCATACCTTGCTATAGTTTTGATGATACCATCAAGTTCATCAGAGGAAGGAGGATTACGACCACCAGGTGGAAAAACCAAGTTGATAGGATCAAAGAGCCGAGATAAGGATTTTGATAGATAAGCAGCCTCATAAGGTTGCAGGGAATCTTTCAAAGCCTTTTCCGGACTGTGGAAACAAAATTTTCAAAAAACAAACTTAAATTATACAAAATTAAATGCTATTGTATAGGCCATAAATATCCTTAACAAATGTAGCTCCCATTTTTAAAAAATGCAATTCTATATTAACAAAAAAAGAATTTGTTTTAAAATGTATAAATATATTTACAAATATGCTTCATAATTAAACATTAAAGACTATATAAACATTTTAATTTAAAGTAAGTCTTAGTTGTAAATGCCATACATGCACGAATACTGACTGTATCTGTCTCCTAAAACTAAAAGAAGAACACAGTAAAATCCTATTAATGCTAATGAAGACTATGGCTAATCCTATTTTTATACAGCATCAAAGCATACATAGAGACCAGCCTACAGAGTCCTGCTCCATTAGCTTGGTCCTTTCCTCCCACAGCTGCTGCCTCCCATAAAGCTTGCTGTCTGAGAATGAAGTTCACAAATCTGGGTTTTTATGTCTTCCCTGTTGTGTTACTAACAAGATCGAGAACTAAATAGAAGTATTTGTGAAAGTCCTACAATCACATAAATACTACTGATTGGAGATCAGCTAATTGTTTTATAATATTCTTCAAAACATAAAATTTGAGAAATACTATCTTTCCTCCTTACTATTCCCATATCTTTGGCAACTTGTGTTGATTTTTATTTAGCAGTCTATTGGATCTGACATTTTTCCTTTGACAATTACTATGTCTATTATTTCTATTATTTCCTATAATTAATTCAATATCTTCTCACATCACCCTGTTTAACATCCTTCTACCAGCCCCACTGTCTTTTTTTTTTTTTTTAAGAATAAATTCCCCTTCATCTCAAAAGTTAACCTTGAAAACCATATGACCTGCTTTTTCATGTGTATGAAACCTGGCTTTCTCTTTTTCTCACCCTTCTGGTCAGCTGACAAGATCTAGAGGTCAGAATGATCTTGGCTCCTACATCACAATTCCATAGTTATCTCTTAATACTTTCTCATAAGTATTCCACTCAACACATATTTACTGAGAATACTATGCACCAGGCACTTTGCATACTTCTGGGAAGATACAGATTAAGAAGGCTTTACCCTCTAGAGAAGAAATAGGCAGGTAAAGTGCTAATTACAATAATTTCTATGATAGCTGAAGATAGAAAGACCACAGTGGGAGCATGGAAGAACTCAGTATGTAAATCTGTCTAAGGCAATCCTCTATTGAAGTCCATGTCACCTATTTAAATGTCTTCTCTATTTTTACTCATGGCAACCACTGACCTTAAGAAACTTCTTCCCTCTTCTGTAGTGCGAATTATAAGCACTAACGTTTTCTTGTTCTCCAAATCTGCTGTAAGAATTCTTGATGTTACAATGTCGAGACAGATAACTTTTCTAAAACCTGTCCTGTATTAGAAGTCTACATTTAAGCTGGGCTCGGTGGCTCAGCCTGTAATCCCATGCCTTTGGGAGGCTGAGGTGAGTGGATTGCCTGAGTCTGGGGGTTCGA